ATATACATAAATCTAGTAAAATTCATTTTAAGTAAAACTTTGTTATATCAAAAAAAAATTTGTTATAGAGAAAATTTATTATAAAAAGAGTCATTTTATATATAAATTTTTTTGACTTTAATTTGTTAAACATAGTACAAATTTTTAATTACTAAATTTAGTATAGTAAGGATTTTTTTTATATTTAAAAATCTGTCTAACACTGAAAATGACACAACCTTAAACAGTACTATATACATGAGAAAGTTGCAAATGCGTTACTCAAAGATCTTAATTGATTTATCAAATTCAGATTTGAGATTTAATCTATCAATTTTAATTTAAATTGAATTTAAACTAATCTGTCAAATTCAGATTTAATTAGATTTACAAAAATAAAAATTAAATCAGATTAAATTTGAATAAAATTTGATCTAATTTAATACTATAATTATGTTAATTATAATATTAAGTTATTTATTATAAAGTTAGTTAAAATTATAAATATTATTAATTAAAATAATATTAAAATTATTTTTAATAATAATAAGTAAATATATTTTATTATTTATTATATAAAAAATTATATAAATTAAAATTATATTTAAATTTTTAAATTATTAAAAAAAATAAATAAATTATATAATTTTAAAATAAATAAATAAAAATAATTATTATAAAAAAATTAATAATAATTTTTAATTAATTAATATATTTTTATAAAATTTATTAAAAATCTATTTTAATATATAGTTTAAAAATGTAAAATTTCTTTAATATTTTTAAAAAATAATATATTAAAAATAAAATACTATTATAATTTAATAATTTTAATTTAATAAATAGCTAAAATTTTATTTATTAAAAAATATAATATTTTGTTTAAGATTAAAATTTTAAAAATTATTTTTAAAATATATAAAAATAATTAACTTAATATATAATTTTATATTTTAAGATATATATATATTATTATATTTATTTTTATTTCTTTTCTATTTAAATTATTTATTATAGAAATTATTATTTATTAAAATTTTATAACTTTAGAAAATTTTGTTATCTTATAAATATTTAGAATTTTATAATTATTTTTACAATTTATTTAAATAAACATTTTAATTAAACTTAATAATAAACTTAAAATAAGATAGTATAGTAATTTATAAATAAAAAATATAGAAAGATGAAATTAATATTGAATAATTTTATTTATTCAAATTTATCATATATATAATTAAAAATATTGATAATACATTTAATATTTAGTATAAATTCTATTAGTATAAATAATTGCTTGAATTCTAAAGGATATAGAATTAATTAAGTTTTAATATGTTTCTTCAGGAATTGATTTTTATTCTTAGATAATCATCTTTTCTAATTTTTGAATATTAAATAGTTCAGATTTGCATTTTCAAAATCTTGATTTAACAATTGATCAAATTGAAATGATTATAATAAAGTTCTATATTACTTAAGTGAAGAAAATATTATATAATTTTTACCATATATATTTACGTATTATTTTCTTAAAAAACAAATATTTTAATTTTTTATGCTTATACTTTAAAAATTAAAATAGCATTAAAATTTTATGATAGATATTATTAGTAATAGAACTAATTATTAGAATAATTGAATTAAGACTAAACTATGAAAAACAGTCTTAAAATATTTGTTTAAGATTGTATTTAATAATCAAAGTGATACAATTTATGTAAAATTTTTCATTTGTTATTCATCAAACTTTATCTCATTCTGAAATTTGAAATTAAGAAAAGTAAATTCATTTAATTAAATTACTTTTTCTAATCAGCTATTGTATAATTCTGATATTATTTTACAAAAGTAAGTTTCTTAACTTTATTATAGAAGAAATTAATAGTTTTAGACATAAAATGCATAATTAAATATCTTTAATTCTCAATACTTTTTGAATAGTTTATTTAGATACTTTTCTATTTCTATTTTATTTTGAAAAAAGTTGACAAACTTCTTCTAAGTTTTAACAACTAAGATTTTTATTTTAAAAAATAGTATTTATTAGTTTTTTTATTTTTACTCATTCATAATTTAAAAATGTTCTGACTATTTATTAATAATTTAATTATTTATATTTAAAATTTGAAATACTATTGATTAAGAGTTTTTAGCAACTTTTGCAATTTTTTCTTATTTTTTTTTTTTTGTAATTTAATAGAAAATATTTTATTTTTATTAAAAATTTAAAAAATTTAAATAATAGTTTTTTAATTTATCATAATTTATAAAATATTTTTATACAAATCTTTTCATATTATATTTTTATCAACTTATGAATAACTTATTATTATTTTATAATAATATTAATTTTAGAATTATATAGATCATTTTTTTAATAATAAACAAATACTTATATTTTGACATAAAATATAAAATATATTATAATTAAAACTATAAATGTAAAATAATATTAAAAATAAATTTTATTAACATTTTATTTAGAAAATTTAAAAAAATAACAAAAAATAATTGAATGAAAATAAAAATAAAGATTTAATAATATAAATAAAATAAAGAATTAATAATAAAAATATAAATAATTAATTAATAATATAAAAAAAAATAAAGATTTACCAGTATAAATAAATAATGATTTAATAATTTAAATAAAAATGATGATTTAGTTAAATGAAAATTAATAAAATAATAATAATATAAAGAAGAATAATAATAATATGAAAATTTAATAGAATATTAATAATAGAATAATAATAATATAAAAATTTAATAAATAAAAATAATAAAATAACAATAATAATTTGCAAATTTAATATAATATTGAAATAATAAAGAAATAACAATTTAATTTATTATGAAAAGATAAGAAAATTATGATATAAATTGAATTATAAATTAATAAATAAATAAATAAATAAATAAGATTTAATAGAAAAGAAAATTTAATATAAAATTATGATAATAAAATTTTTAGATAAATAAAAATTAATTTGTAAATAAATTCTTTTGAAGATGAGTAATAAAAATAATTTGAAAAGATGTAACTCTTGTTAAAATTATTGAATTTATAAATATTAATAATTTGTAAATTAAGGTATTAGTAATTACAACATATAGGAAGTTTATTAGAAATATCAGACTTTAAGAAGTTTTTTTAATACAATTTTAATTTTTATTGCATTTTAATTTTGGATATTATTAGATTAAAATCTTAATTTTAATCAAAAAAATTCTTAGAATCTGATTTTTCTAATAAATTTTTTATATTTTATTATTTTATATAATATAAGTATTTTGTAGTAAAAAAGAAAGAAACTTTAAAATTTTTTTGAATTAATTATATTTAATTTATAAAGTAAAAAATTTTTTTAGTAGTTTCCTTTTTAATATAAAGTGTTTATATAGAACCTTTGCAATAGAAAAGAAGAAAACTGTAAGAAAAAAATCAATTTTACTTTTTTTTTTTCCAAAAATTTTAAACTATTAAATTTATTATCTAGAATTTCATATCTTTTAACTATATTACACTTTAAAAATTAGATATATTACTAGGTATAATAAAATTTTTTTTTAATATTAGTTATAAAAGTTTTGTATAAATTAAATTTCTATTATAAGTAAACCTAAATATCATTATAAAATATTGAATTATCCAAATTTTAAATTTTTTAACTTTATATTTATTTTATTTATTTTATTTATATAAAAATAAGAAAAAAGTGTAAGTTTTACGGATCATGGTGTTGATTGGTTAAAGATCTCACTTTTTTTGATGATAATCGGATCATAATTCATGGCTTAGCATTTATATTGGGATCGATCAAAACAAACAAATTACTTTGTACATGCAATTCCAAATAGATCTTCTAAGGAAGAGACTGATTTTTCTAGAGGTAAAAACATGATAATCAAATATTTTATGAAATTGTATGACTAATCGAAATAGTGAAGCTGATAGAAGAGAATTACAATTGTAATAAAATTACACCAAATCTTCTATCGCTTCACATAATGGACCATTTATTATGGACCATTATAGTTGAACGTATGTGTATATTAGGTAAGTCAATGAATTTGCCGCCATGGCGTTACAACGCCAGTCTCGCATGTTTTTCTTGACGATCATATTTTCAAAACGCATGGTGATTTCTCATTAGTATATATAATAAAATTTTAAAGATTGTTAAGAAAAATATTTAAATTATCCAAAATTATTTGTTTTAAATAAAAATGGAAATGTTGAATCAACTTTAAACATTCATACTTGATTTTTACCAAAACATTTAATTTTAAATTCTGAAATTATAAACCAGATATGTCTTACTTAAAGAGCACGTACATGCCCACGTTTTGGGGTTTTAGAATGATTGGGGTATGCATGTGATTTACTCATGATAATTTAATAAATGTTGGGAAATTGTGACAATGTAAATAATAATTAAGTGACATCATATGTTATAAAATATTTTTTTTTTTTTTTTTTGGACGGGAAAACTAACTTGAACTTTTTTTTTTCTAAATTATAATTTACTCAATTTGGATTAGATTTTTTTTGGTTAAATTGCAAGTATAAAAAACCAAAAAAAAATCTTTTTTTCCTTCCTTTTTTTTTTTCTCAAAAAGTATAAAAATTAGTACAAAAATTTTTATTTCAAAAAGTTCTTCATAATTATATAATGCCTATACGCCGAAAAATGTCTTCATCGATACGTAATTCATCGGAAACTACATTACAAGGGGAAACCACTTCTATAACAACATCGATTGATCACGCAACAAAAATAACTGAATTTCCTTATCCACTTAATAATACTTTACCTGTTTCAAAAGTTTCGGCAACCTGTAATTTTGCCGACTTACCTCTTTGGCTTCAAGATAATTGTTATATCTTGAGAGGTTATCGAAGGCCTACATTTTGTTATATGAAATGTGCTAAATCTTTATTTTACATTCATAATGAAAGTGGTAAGTTCATCTTTAAGATTCGAAACTACATGATAAGAATCATACATTTCTAACTTATTTGATTCTTCAGTTAATATTTGGTCCCATTTAGTTGGGGCGATAACATTTATTTGCCTGGGGTTCACAACGTATTTTTATAAATTGTCACATCAACCTAATGTGAGACTCTGGGACTTCTTTGTATTTTATATGTTTTTACTTGGTGCTATGGTTTGTTTAGGATTTTCTTCAATTTTTCATACATTATGTTGTCATTCAGAAAGAGTTTGTGCAAATTGGAATCGATGTGATTATGTCGGTATTGTGACATTGATAGTAGGATCATTCTATCCGATGATATATTATGGTATTTAAAACATTTTTTTTTTTTTTTTAAATAAAAAAAAAATAAACTTATTTTGATCCTTCTAAATTAATCCCTAGGATTTTATTGTCATTCAACCTTACAAATAATTTATCTTTCAATGATTTCCATATTTGGAGCTGCAACGGTAGTTAATATCCCTAATTACATTACCATATGTTACATTATAATTGATTTACCAATTTCGATCTTATAGATTTCAGTTGCAGTCGCAAGTAGGTTTAGATCACCACAATATAGATGGTTTCGTACAGGGTTATTTTTGGCTATGGGATTAAGTGCAATTGTACCGTTGGTTCATGCTGTTGTAATTTATGGTGTAAGTAAAGAACGTAAATTTTAATTTTCAAAAATTTTATTTTCCCAAAGGCGTTAAAATCCTTTGACTTTATCATAGATTCAACTTTGTTTTGATGTGATATCACTAAAGTGGTTATTATTAATGGGCGCTTTGTACGTTGTTGGGGCTGTCATATACGGTGCTAGGTATGTTATATAGATATCTTGAGATCATACGCAATATATGTTACAATAAATTTATGATTATAATTTCTAATTATAGAATGCCAGAAAGATGGTTTCCAGGAACATTCGATATCATTGTAAGAATTTATACACATTTAAAATCAATTTACCTAAATTTTACTTTTATTAACATCTATTTTTTTTTTTAAAAAAAAATAATTCATAGGGATCATCACATCAAATATTTCATTTTTTTGTAGTAGTGGCTGCACTTGTGCATTATTACGGAGTAATGGAAGCAATGGTATTTTGGCATGATCAAAATCATAATTGTCAACTCGATGTTAAAATAATGAAACCTAAAGCATATATATAGGAACGATTTAAGCATTTTGATAAATTTAGAATAATTGATTTACGTCATTTATAAGAGCATAATGGACATCTCCAATAAAAAACTATTTAGTTCACGTAAAGGTGACACAAACAGCCAACATAAATAAGTCATAGATGTTAAATAATATAGTTTGCATCCTAAAGCCTTTTTATTATTAAATATAGAATAAATTCACAAGTTCCTGTAATTATTTTAACTTAAAATCACTAGACTACTATTTGGTTTTTCCTATTTACAGTATAATGAATGATTTTTTTTTTGAATTTTTGTTAATTATGAAATCTTAAGATCGAAAGGAAAAAGAAGAAACTATATCCAAGAAACTATCTTCATAAAAGAAACTATAATTTAAAGCTATAATCAGTTAATAAAAGGATGAAATGTTAGCAAGGAGATAATGATAAGGAAAAACTGAACAAACAAATAAAGCATTCTAACATAAAATCCAAATACATGTCCCTTTCAAATTAATCCCATGTAATAATTCCAAAGACGTACAGATGCAACCTTCGTTGTGTTATATATCACCTGTGTAAAACATAAAAAATTTTAATAAAGATAAATCTAATCTTTAAAATTTACTAAAATAATAATAATAATAATCATCATCATCATCATAATAATAACTTAACTAATTCAAATCACTTTAATATTCTGATAATCATGTCTTTTGATAATCGTATTCCAAGTCACCAAACCTTCGCAATCCACTTCAACCAGCTTAGGAAACGATGTGGTATTCATCAATTCTTTACAAATATTTTCACTTAGATTTTTGCATCCATGTACGATTAATACTTCTAATTGATTAGATTCTTTAAATATTGATCGAAGTGATTTACACTTTTTAAAATCAACTCTACGAAAGTGTAACATTTTTAATGATTTGGCGTGATATTCCAGTGCCGAAATTATTGTCGGGGTAATCTTTCCTCTTCTCAAATAAAAGGTTTTTAATTCTTTCTGAGATTTTATGATTTCCGCTAGTTTTTGATCAGAAGACCAATATGTCTCATCTAATGTCATATCAACTTTAAGAATTTTCTAATTTTTTTTTTTTTAAAAAAAAAAACAAAAAGGTTTTATAAAACAATTAAAATAAGGCAAATAATAAAGGAAAAAAAAACTTTTTCGACACAAACCAATCTTTGACAAGTTTGGCATAATAATTCCAAGCACTCAACATTAACTAATTTCCTTACATCCAAGGAAAGTTGTTTAATGTTTGAAATGAAAGATTGATAATTCGGTTCCTGTAACAAAATCCACAACTCATGATGTAGATTATCCAATAAAGATCTTTTATCCAAATCAAGTTGGTAAAGGGTAACGCAATGTTTTGCAAAGATGTTAAGTATTCCTCTCAGTAATAAATTATATTGTTTTGAAATTGGCTGAGGGCAATTATTACGACACCATAAAAATATTGCCTGGGATAACTCTTGCATGCTTATTGATTTCAAGAAAGAAGGATAACAATAAGTTGCGGATTTTCTTTCACAAACTTTATCAAATGTGATTCCGGATTTTTCCAATACTTTTTGTTCTTTCTCAGTAAAAAAAGCCATATAAGTTGTAATGATCCCCTGTGATGGGATAATATTTGACCATAGTATTGGCGTGGAATTTGCACTCCAATATTTACTAACAAGTATGCAGGAGTATAAATCTTCCAAAGTTTCTGCGCGATCAGAATTTATTCCATCGTTATACAATATTGAAAAAATTTCTCGCAAAATTTCCGTTGGAATTTTATCGATACTTGAAGTACCTATAATATATTATATATATATATTTTTTTTTTTTTTTTTTTTTTTTTTTTTTCTTTCTGTTAAAAAAATTAATGAACATTATAACCTTTCGAAAATTTACTTACCGTTATTGTTGTCTTTCAAGCAACGTTTGTATACCATCTAGTTATCGCATTTGCCTACACGGAAATTAAGAATTAAGGGAGAAGAAAAAAGGTAAATTGTCTGTGCGTCAATGATTATTTTAAAAATATATGTGAAATGATCAGACCAATAACGTCATTGATTCGAAAAGCTGCCTAACCCGATTTTGATTAAAATGTTGGTGTAACAACTCTAAAGTCGTAGCTGAATTTATATAAGCCATGTGCATTGTTCTAATTTGCTAACCGTCTCCTCATTTAGTGTGTTTAAGCGTGAGAGTTTCAATGTTTATTTTTCCATACATAGAAAAGGGAAACGTCTGGAAAAAATAAATGTTATGTGACCTAAAAAATCATATTTGGCATATAAAAGTAAAATTGATTTTTTTTCACCCCTTTCTATTTGCAAAGGTCAAATATTGTTAAACCTACGAATATTTTAATGATTTTAAGTTAGTATAACTAACCAGTTAATGCAATGATACTAAAAACAGTTTGTTTCCTTACATGTAAAGAAACATCTCGATCAAATATTTTGATATCTTGGTTGCAGCTGAAAATCTCGATTTCGGTTTACAAGACGTATATGCATAATGAAAGTATCGCCAGATTGGATGAGGTAAAAAAAGATGGTTCGATATTATCTTATCATTCGGAAGCACAAATCTAAAACTTATTGGTAGATCCAACCAACGATTTGGTCAAATGAGAAATCAAATTTTTTTTTTTTTAAATTTTAAACTTATTTATTTAATTGTCTCTTCCAAGAAAAGTTAAATCGATGTTATCAATTCACAATTTCATATTATTAAATGAGATGATGCTAATTTGAAATTATTACCATGAAGTTATCATTAAAAGGATTTAATCAACTAAATATTTCTCATATTATCTGAAGTTGGCAATTGTCATCTAACAAATAATATTTTATTATTAAAGTAAATGAATGGAAAAGTGAAATGTTAGGTGGTTATAATCCAAGTGAATCGAAAGGGTATTCCGGTAAAAGTTTTGCTTTGAAAAAATAAATCTAGGAGGGTAAATTATCTCGATAATTTCAAATATATCTTTCATTCATTTGCATTTTGACAAATTAACATTAGATAAATGACTGAATAGATGAAAAAATATATATAATATAAAATTCAATTCATATATATATACAGTACATACATATTAATTAACAAATCATTAAAGATTAAGAAATAACCATGGTTAAATGTACAATTTATTGTTAAATGTACAATAATTATTCTATATATATCTTACATAAAATTAATAATTGTATATTAAAAGAGAATAATTAATTATTATATATAAAATGCTTTTATATGATGATTCTAAAATATATGATATTATTATACAACTGAAGTAAATAAATAGTCTAAGCTTCTATTGCAGCATTTAGTAAGTATTTCATGAGAAAACTCAATTTAATTAATAATCATAGCCATACTCATCGTCATCATCGTCATCATCGTCATCATCATCTTCATCATCATCTCCTCCTTCAACTTGTTTTCCTTTCTTCACATTTCTTTTCAACTTTTCTTTTCTTTTCAATTCTCGAAGTTCCATTTTCATTTTAACACACTCCCTTTTTTCTTTGCCACTTTCCTTTAGCCAACTTTTTAAAAATTTTCTTTGTTCACCCTCTTCGCTGCCAGTTACATTTAAGGCTTCTTTGATGCTTTCAGGTGAACTTAAAGAATAAATCCTATCTAACAACACTTTTATTGTTTCTAATTGAGATAATTTAGCAGCATAACCCAAAACATTAAGTGCTTCCCCACTTTTAATTAATTCCTTTTCTTTTTGATCATCAGTTAAATCAAATGCCACTTTACTTGTTCCAGCAATCATTATCTCATCATCACCATCATCATCTGAAAATTGTTCTTTCATTTCCTTTTCATCTTTGTCCTCTAGTCCAATTCTAGCATTTACATCAACCCCCCATTTAATCAAACTTTTAATTAATTTTTTAACCCATTCTTCCCTCATATTAATTCCCATATCAACACAAACGAATAATAAATTTGGCAATTTTTTTCCAGGTATGGTGATCTGTTTATTCACATCAGCACCATGACTAACCAATAATTTTATTATCTTGTAAATCTTTTCAAAAGGTCCACAATGATAATTAAACCTAACTTGCGTTAAAGTATATCCCAGAGGGTTACCACCAATTTCATTCCTACTATTTGGATTTGCTCCATTTTCCAAACAAAATCTTAATAAATTTGGTGTCAATCCTTTATGCCATTTAAATAATATTGTTAATAATAACGTGTCTCCGTTGTTTTTTGTTGAATTGATTGAACACCCATTAGACATTAAATATATTAATGATTCCTTAAAATGTTTTGAGTTCGTTTCTGCTGAAAATAATGACTTGTTTTCTCCTAAATAATTTATTGGTGACCCTCCTGTATACGAATTTGTACAATCACACGTTGCTTTTAATGATCGCAGCACATTAAATGTTTCTATGATCTTTTCCCCTGGACAATATTGTGCGGCTTCTATCATCAATGATTCTAATGGTCTTCTATAACTAATAAATATTTTTTTTTAAACATAGAAATTTAACATGAAGCGCATTTTGCCGTAAAGAAAAAAGAAATCATAATGTGTCAAATACCTATTTCTTGGACCTGTCACTTGTTGAACCTTATTAACTTCCTCTTCCTGTACTTTTACATGCCATTTTAGTCCATCAATGTCACCTTGTCTAACATGATATGCTGCAAAACATGGTGCAGAATTAATCGTCCAATTATTAGATGCGAATAACATTCTACAATATTCACTGTATGGAACTACCAATCATAATAAAAGAAAATTAAAAATCGGCTAAAGTTCATTCAAGTTGAAATTAAATAATTTATAACTACATTTGTCTGGTTCTGCTGTTATCGTTGATATTCTTTTCATAGAATTATCCGAATAACTTCTTCCGATATTAAAGAATCCTTCATAACGAATAAAATGAGTCAAAAAAGTCAACTTTTGTCTTTCTATATTATATTAGGAAAATTAAAATATCATTTACCCCTGCCTTTTAAACTAGTTTCGGATCTTGGTGTTGTTGGAGTTTCTTTTTCTTTATCTTTAATCATGAGATACAAGTTAATTAAAATAATAATTATCAAAATGATGAAACATTATCGATTATGTACCTGAAAGTACCGTTGTCCAATCAGCTCCTATTTTTTTATTATTATTTATAATTTCTGAAGTAACATTTAATTGGTGATTAATTTGTTTAAAAAAAATAAAAAATAAAAATTATTTACCTTCACTCAACACATGTGTAGATCTCCCGGATGATCTCTAATTAAAAAAAATATATTTCATATTACTGGATGAAGCTTTCGAGTTACACTTGAAATATCTTAATAAAAATACTCACCCTAAATAGTTTTTCACTTCCGGATAATCTTCTAACAAGTTTTTTTGCTCTAGTCTTTACCTTTTTCTTCCATGATTTCTTTAACGTGGTTTGTTCCATAGTTAATTCTGGCTATAATGCGAATCAAAAAAAAAAAAAAAAAATATTCATTTTATTTATTTTACAAAAAAAAAAAATTGCATTAATAAAAGATAAAATGATTAATATTATTACCTCATTAGTTATTACTGTTGTGTTTGTATGTTTTATTTCTTTTCGTACGTTTGAAACATTTAGACCTGCAAAACGTAAAGATAAGTTGTGTGTTCATTCGATGCCCGAGTCCTTTTCCTGGACAACTGTTTCACTTACCTTCAGTAGTTATTTTCAACGATTTCTTATCATGTTCTTTTAATAAAAATGAATTAGTTATTTAAAATTATCATAAATTACCACAAATTATTTCGATTATACCTGTTGTTACGATTTTGGTGATTTGTGTTGGAGTTGGTTTCTCAATTTTTTTATCTACAGATATGTAACAGATTAACATGATTATAACAATTATAACGATAAATGTCAAGCGGGTGAAAATAGTACCATACCTATTTTTGTAAGCCACAGCTCCGCGGTCATCGCATCTTTTGCCATCTCCAATAGTTCTTTTTGATTATATTACGTCAAGTCAGAAATAATTTTAATCAAGAAGACAAATTTTATCGAAACTTGATCATTTACCTTGTTCTGACATTCGATTGGATGATTTATGACCTTTTTTTTCAAAAGAACAATATTTTATAAGAACAATGGAAGAAACGAAACAGTTATTTCAAGTTAACAAGCGTACTTACGAAAAAGAAATTTTTTTTTTGATATATTTATATTTTTTTTTTTGGACAAATTGAAACATTCCGTATTAGAATTATTATTTTTTTCTCATCATCATGTCACGTATTCGACGAATAAATAAGTTTTTGCAAACCTGTATTCATGATGTCCAACAAATTTTTCAACTGCTTTAATAAAATTCCAATGATTGGCCTCTTGGTAGGATCGTTATTCCAACACCTTGTATAAAATTCACTGTACGCAATCGGCGTATTTGGTATAACATTTTCCCGTTTATTATGTAAGATATTGAATATCAAATTACGTTTAATGGGATCGTCTTGGTAAGGGGATCTTCCGCTCGATATTTCCCACATTATCACCCCCAAACCATAAATGTCAGAACGTGCATCTTTTCTATATGATTTATCTAGTAATAATTGTGGTTCAACGTACGGTACGTTGTTAATCGAGAATTCATCGAGAGTTGAAGCATCGACGGAGGTAGGTGATGTGAGATATTTAATCATGCCGAAATTTGATAATTTTACACGATTTTGATGAAATACAATGTTCCAAGGATACTAATGAAGCGCAGTAAACATAAATAAATGCGCATGAATTATTTTGTCGATGCATTTAATTTACCTATCACATACAGTTTATCTCTTTAAGATCAGAATCAACGTACCAAATTACCATGTGTTATTCCATTTACATGAAGAAAATTTACCCCTTCGGAAACCTGATAAGCTATGTCTAATTTATCAACCCATGATAATTTGGCAAAATTTTTTTTTAAAAAATGGTGTAGGGTTCCTCCATCGGCAAATTGTGTCACAAAGAATAAAGAATTTGTCGTTGGTACTATCGATAAAAAAAAAAGGGGGCTAAACTTTTAGGGATATATTTATTTTAAAAGGGAAAGAGAAATATATATATATATATATTTTTTTACTTACCTTGAGAAATTCCAAATACCTGAATGATTCGTTCATTAAAATCCCTTTGTGAATATAATTTTAACTTAAGAGAAAAGGAAAGGGGTGGGGGGAAATAAAAAGGACTAATCAATCATCGTTTTATGTTCTATAAAAAAATAAAATGAAATAAAATTATAAAAAAAAAAAAAAAAAGAAAAAAAAAATATATATATATATATGGGTCACCTCGTGAAGGAAAAGTTTATTCATTTCATCATCAACAATCAAATTATTTTGAACGATCTTGGATGAGACCTTTATTCCGGTTTTTTTCCAATAATTTACTCTGTCATCACCTTCCTTGGCATCAAATTCTTCAAAGGGAATTAAATTGATATGACGCAATTTGACGATATCGTCAATCCACTTTATACATTGGGCCATTGTTTTTATTTAATTTAATTTAATCTTTTTTTTTTTTTTTTTAAGGAATATGCTCGTTCCTGCTTTTAATTATAAAAGGGTTTAACTTCTTTTGACGTGTTTAATATTCAGAAAAGGATTAAACCACATAAAAATGGTTGAAAAGATAATAACAAAAAAAAAAAAAAAAAAAAGAATGAAATGAAAATGAAAATGAAAAATAAAACAAAAATGTTTTGTCATAAATGTTCAAATAAAAAAAAAAATTTTTTTTTTTTTAATGTATATTACCTAAATTCGATGATCTTAAGGAATGAAATAATTTCTATAAGATAACCATAAAAAGAAATATTTGTAGCAAAATAAACCTGTGTGGTAATAAAAAATAATAAAAGGGAAATATGTGGGTAAGAAAAATAACGCGAGAATACGACAAATTTCATTGTTTAAGGTAACATAAACACCACTTAATACAAAGTATGTTATAGTGCAACAAAGAGTTGAGATGTAAAAAATAAGAAAATATGCTCGTATGGATTCACAACAATTAAGAGAACAATATTATTATAACATGACTTTAATTGAAGGTTACACTTGTGCTTTTGGTTAGCAAAGAAATCCGAATGAATGAAAATGGCGAAAAATCAGAAATTGAGAATAACAACTTGTTCGGAATTACAAAAACTAACGTTTTGCTACATTTTGTCCTATATAATATCTGTTCTATAACCATAATTGGAGCCAATGAATTTTGATGAAACAGTTTACAAAGATAAAATTCCTTATTTGGTCGTTGAATCCTTTTTTAAAGGTAATGGTTCCTCCAGGTTGAACTTTGTCACGAGGTATCGTCATCTAGATTTCCATTTCCATAACAATCATGTGTCGATTTCGGACGGGGAGATTTGGAATGGGTTTCAACCAAACTTTTCATCTTGTGTCTCATTAAAATGATGCTAACTAATTTGTAATTCATTTCCTTCATTAGAGCCTAATCGTTGATACATACAGCATTATTATGGTAAACAAAATGTAAACAAAAATAATTATGAAAATATTCATGCAACCGAGAGGAGATCGTTAAAATTCCATTTATGTATGTATATAATAGTGCACAGATATTTCCAATTTACCTGATAAAAAAACATTATTATGCATTAAATTTCATTTTATTAGCTTGATTTGTAGATGAATGATTGCTTTTACCCAAATCTATTCTACAATTGGGAAAGCTGAGAAGGGTAATGAGAAATGCGTGATTTCACGAGTTTACTAATCAAAAAAAAAAAAAAAGAAATTTGTTTCGGCCGACCAATCAAGTTCGAATACGCAGTAACGCTAAAAGAAATTTTTTTTTTTCATCATTTATTATACATTACGTGACCATTTGACTAGGCGTTGATGATTTCAAAATTACAACTTTTCAAGATTCCTTTTTCTTTGTATTTATCACATATTTCTTCGAACCTGCCTTTATCACCTTTGACGCAGTGAAATTCGATTCCCAAACCAAAATTTTCATGCTGTTCGGAACTTATCAGAAAATCCTCCAATTCCTCATCATTAAAGTTCCACCTCCCGATCAAATCGATCTTTTTCAAATCCCTCGATATCTTTGAAGGAATTAATTTAAGGAATGGGTTGGCTTCCAAAATCTCATCATCCCCATCACCTGCTATCGCTTCAAGTTTGAGATATTTTAAATTCATGCAAGAACCAAATAATATTTCAATGTCATTAAGCACGTTGCTAGTCACCCAAAGGTTCAGGCTCTCTATCTTTGGACAATACGCTGTAATCGTGTCGACGTAATTTGAGACGGATTCTATGCTTTTCTTATTTAATGCGTGGGTTTCAATTTGAATCTTTTTAATGGTATATTTGGTCTTTTGTAAAAGGGAGATAATCGGTTCAAGCGAATTGATGTCCGATAATGTGATCTCTAGAATTTCCAAGGAAGGTAACTTCATCGAATTTAACGAGTTCAAAACATTATTGATGAAGATATTCTCCATTCCCAGGTCTATTGATAAATATCTTAAGTTGGTCAAAAAAGGATTGATGTGTTTTAATGACATGTATGAGATGTCTTCTTCTTTGAATTCAAGTGAAATCAATGATTTTGTCAAGTGTTGCAATGAGCTTGATATGTTTGGACATTCCTTATTATTGTACTCGTAATCATAGGAAATGAATTTAATGCGTCTCAAATTTTTTTGTAAAGATATTAAGGTGGCCAATCCTTGATTGTCATAATTTGGATAATTAAAATAAATGTAAACGATTAAATCCGTTATGTTATTTGAAATTTTTGATAATTGAACGTAAATATCTGGTGAAATTCTAGTCGTACATTCTAATCTTGTTATGGTTTGAAATTTTGAATCATATTCTCCCTTTTGGTAAAATTGATTCATTGATTGATCGCAAGGTAAAACGAAATGATCGATCCTTTGTGACCCATTTAAGAATAATTTCCACAACTCGTCAATCAAATAATATTGATTATTATAAAAATTATAATTGGTCTTGTAATTCTTTTTATGTAAGATAGCTTGAGCGAGTATCGTTATCAAATTCTGTGATAAATACCGACAAGGTGAAATGTAATCGTGCATTGGTTTTCGGTTAATGATGCTTGATTTGGAGATATTATTAAAAACGAGTAATTCTTTGACGTTTTTTGGGAATGACAAAAGGATTGTGTAAGAGATGGGTTTCCAAAATTTTATCGTATAAAATGTATGCTTCCATGGGTGCTTCCTCCAAAGAATGGTCACCGCAACCTTTGACCAACGATGATTTAATTGCATGCAAGCGTACAAATCATTTGGATTCTCCGATAAATTTTCCAGGATATTCAAGATAAATTCTTCGTTAAGGTCGGTTGCCATTTTTAACTTTTTTGATAAAATTTTTTATTTTTATTTTATATTTTTAAAGAAAAAAAAAAAATAAAGGAAAAAAATTTATTTATTTTTTTTTTTTTTATTAAATAAAAAAAAAATTCCGTTTATATGATGTCGATCTTTTTTGCAAATCGCGGTTAAAGTATAAAGATTTAGTTAGATTTTTAGTCAATTTCGAAAATTCGAAACAAATGAAAATATAAACCGAAAATAAAATGTTTTTTTATCTCCGATAAATAGAGGTATCTGAACATTTTTAACGGAGGTTTTAAAGAGATCTAATATGTGAGTTGACCATCGTCAAACCCTACCATACCATACGCATGTGGTTTTTTTGTGATCTTCATGGAAGAAATACAAGGCCTTAATTGCATTCATTCATTTAATTTGATCAAAAAAAATTAATATAATATCGTCAAATCGCGCGCCCATTCTGTTTATCATCAGCCAAGGCTAGTTTAAAAAAAAAAAAAATCCTCACCTATTAATGGAAATTTTTTTTTCTTCTCGAATCAAAATCTAACCTCAATCTCATTAGTGAACCATGTGTATTTGATTTTTTCTTCCACTTGTATCCATCGAATAATGCAATCAGATGGAAGCTTCTCGATCCGAACCCTTGCATAAATATTTGTAGAATTAATATAAATGAGGCTAATACGAACTCTCGGAAATATTTCATCATATCTTTATTAACCTCTTTATGTGTAATAAAAAAAAAAAATAATAATAAGACGTGGTAGAACGTTAAACTCGGGGAAATTAAATTTTGAAATTTGAGCACACCCTTTCGCTGAGGGTAATTGGTTTGCGATGTGCACAAAGAGTCACTATATTTATATTTGATTTACATGTTTATCTGGACTTTTTTCTTTTTTTTTTTTTTTTTTACGGGTGTTTACAATTGACCATTGGATGGAATTAATTTGTCACACGAGAAAAAAAAAAATATTTACATCATCGTTTTCCGTTTAGAAAGGGTCCAATAATAAATTATATAAATCTTCAATATGGTATGTCAATTTATCTATTATATACAGTATTTATATTTTTCATAATTGTTTGTACTCAATATGAAGGAAACAAAATCATTTGACGAGAATTTAACGTAATCGCGTTAAATCCCTCCGACCAATTTTTCTTTTTTGTATAATTTCACAATAATTTGTTAAATTAATTAAATGAAATTTCATCAAATGGTTCATATTTAATGTAACAAACAGCTAGTATTAATACCATCACAATGAGTTCCCAAATAAGAAAGTTGAGATATCAAATCAATCGATTGTTGAATTCACCTTTTAGCACCCCTAATTGATGATATCATTATTTATGGTGAGGAATACCCATTATTAACGTACCTAACCTTTTTTTTTTTTATAAGGCTTTGATTTCTTCTTTCGGAAAAAAGGAATTTTGCTAATATTATATAAGAAATGAATTTGCAATTTAAATAAATTTATCTTTAATTATATTTGCTTTTATAAATAAAAAATAATCGTACATAAAAACAATGAATGTCTCTATCCAATTCTAATAGTGGTCTCAGAGAGTCTAACTAGGATCAAACCTGGTGAATATGATTTATAATACTGGATGGCAACCTCTGGGCAAGTGTATACAGGGTGGGTTATAAATTCGAATTGCTATTTTGTTTGTGGTTCAGCAGGCACAGCATATGCATTCAATTATTAGATGGGTATACAAATTCATGTCCAGTAATAAAAAACGATGAAATCTTTCCTAAATTTTAATCGTGAGATTAGATGTCCTTATTGGAGTCTCGTGTTGTTTATTAAATATTACATTAACAAATAATTTCCCCAAGAAAACAAAATATTTAAAAACTTTCATTACTAGTTTTTTTAGATACTTTTTAAAACGCTAGTACGACAAATTCTTTATTAAATTTTTAAAAAAAGTGCTAGAACAGTATCGATATCAAGAAGGGATAGAATAAGAATCATGAAAATTCGAGCAGTCACCTGACAATAAGACCATTATCGCGAATGATAAACTGAGATGAAATAGAATATTAAAATCGTAGCCATGAGGAAGGAATTATGCAAAATAGAAATTAATTTGTACCATTGACGTTCCCTTTTGGGTAAAATGGCAAATGTTTATTTTGAAAATATATATATATATATACACGAACACCAATAGCAAGAGTGAAACCCCAGAGTAATTAACCCTCTCCGACATAACCTGTTCCAATAAGAAGAATATTACTCAATAACAACAAAAAATAATATTGCAAGATATAATAAACTTTATAATATTATAATGTTTAAATCAATACCTTTTAGCAGAAAATTATGAGAATCAAAGAATTTTTACCGGTAGGAAAAAAAAAAAAAAAGATACTGTATAACTATGGTTTAGACGCCAAAGGTTCATGATTGTAATTTATTTATTAATAAATTATGATTATAGATGAACTATAAACTTTGCGGAAACTGATCAACAATTATATCTTTACAAATGAAAAAAAGAAAATAATCTAAACTAAGCATATAATTGACAAGTACGTTTATGAAAATGATTTCCGTTCCTTCTAATTTGATCATAATCAGCCAAGCACCTGCAATGCGAAAAAAAAAAAATTAATTACTTTATTTCCTTTTTAAAAGTAAGTTCAAAAATACTTACAACCAACAAAACTCGTATCTACAATTTTGGACTTTACAAGTCATATGATTACAACCACCATTTTTGGTGATTCTAACTCCACACTTGGGACATTGTTTGGTTTCGCGATTAAGTAAATCTTGAGTAGCCATGTCTTCACCTTGTTTTGCTTCATTGTATTCCTCACAAGAAAGATTATCATGCCATGGAATGTCGTGCGTGTAACAAGATTTTTCCCCACATGCTTCACATGTCATTATAGGTTCTTTATCTGAAAAGAGAAATGATGATCGGAGAGAGATTAATTTCTTTGTTATAATTTCATCGTACTGTAGTTTATAAACACTCACCACCCCCGGAGTGAATTTGACCAGATCCACAACCAGCATTCTTACACCACCTGAAATCTGGCATACTTCTTAACGCTTGTTTCAATGACAAGCTATCATACCTGTAAATAATTAAAAAAAAATATTTATTTATTTATTTATTTATTTCAACGAAAATTGTTTAAAGTTGTTCTCTTATGAAAATGAAAGGTATTACTTACTGTTCAAACAGACTAGAATTTACAATACTTTGAACATCATTGTATTCAATCAAAAAACCACAGCTATCACCAAAAGGACAAAGAATTCCCTCAATGTCACCCTTTGAATTTAACTGGGTTTCGATATGTTTAGAAACACAAAGCTTACAAATATCATTGGGATGTGAACAATATTTTGTGATCTTTGGGAAATGTCTTACACTGCGAGATTCTACACAAATCATACATTCCTTTTCCTTTTTTTTCTTTTGCGAAGAAGAGCATGTCCCATTATCAAAGTTATATGAAGTATTAGAAGTCGATTTGGACGAGGGATTCGTATCATCGTCATCATTTTTGAGAGATAATTTTTTGAGATAATCTGAAGTTACAGTAAAGTGATAAGGAGAATCATCATTATCAGAAGAGAGATCAAAAGAAAGAGCTGTTGAAGGAGAATTTGTTGAAGTAGTTGAATAGGTAGAGGTAGATAAGTAAGAGTATGGAGAAGAATTCGTGTAAGTATATGAAGGAGAAGAAGTATTTGAAGTTGTGAAATTATATGAAGGAGGAGAAGTTGAAGGAGAAGAAGTAGTTGAAGTTGTGAAATTATATGAAGGAGGAGAAGTTGAAGAAGAAGAAGAAGAAGAAGAAGTTGAAGTTGTGAAATTATATGAAGGGGGAGAAGTTGAAGAAGAAGAAGTTGAAGTTGTGAAATTATATGAAGGAGAAGAAAAAGTAGAAGTTGAGGTATATGGAGAAGAAGTTGTTGAAGTAGAAGTGTTTGAAGTTTTATAAGTTTTTGAAGTAGTTGTATAAATATATGGAGATGATGTATATGATGAAGAAGGGGAAGAAGTTCTTTCTTCCTCTTTTCTATAAGACGATGTAACCGAGAAAGTGTACATTATTTTAAATTTTTAAATTTTACGAAAAACAAAAAAAAAAAAAAAAACGGCAAAAATGATGAACAATAAGCAAAGAGCAAATAATTCTGTATTTGGTGTACAAATGGTTGGAAAATATTTATTTATTATATTTATAAAAATAATCCTGTGCCCAATTTGGCGCAGTACAAATAAAAAAGAATTTTCTAAATTTAAAAAGATTTTGCGAATATGAACGATTTTTCATTAATCTCCGATACAAATAAAGTGTCATAATAATTTCTCCAGGTTCCATTTATTGTTTTTTTGCCCATCCGACCACCAGGCAATAGTTCTTGAATGTACCAAAATTTGGAATCTAAATTTTGAGTGTAATAATATAACTTATCATTTGCTTGAAACGATGTAGCGACGTGAAATGGTTGCTTTAAATAACCGTGAGCAGTTTCGGGTCCCATCTTACCACCGTCGAATAATTCCCTTATAAACCAATATCTACGCACAACGTTATGACCATAATAATAGGTTTTGTCATTTATGTTAAAAGCAAAGGCAACGTGATGAGGTTGAGCGCATGTACCATTTGCGGTTTCTTTGCCTATTTTACCCCCGGGCATTAATTCATGAATCGACCAATCGTTTGTTTTAACATTATGACCGTAATGATAAATTCTACCATCAGAAGTACGAAATGGAAATGTTACATGATAGGTCGTTTTCCATGTACCATGTGATGTTTCTTTACCTAATTTCCCTCCTTCTAATAATTCTTGAATGTACCAATAATGCGAAATTGAATTTTGGGCGTATAAATAATTTTTATTGTAAATTTTGAATGTGAATAAGACGTGATATGGATTTTCTAATGTACCATGTGATGTTTCTTTACCGAATTTACCTCCTTCTAATAATTCTTGAATGTGCCACGTATGCTTATTTGCATCATGCGAGTAACAATATGTCTTTTCATTAATTTGGTATGAAATGGCTACATGACTATTCAATTTTTTGGTGTAGGTTGAGGTGTGATTCTTTGAAGTGATGGGTTTGAGTGTTAAGGATAATGTCTTTGTGAGAGAAAGTCGATTTGTTGATTTGTTCGTCCTTTCTGCTCCTAATTTACCATCAGATATCAATGCCCAATATCCTGTCATACTTTTAAGAGAAAGAGTGTATTTAGTGAAGTGATGTAAGTATGACCAATTTCAAAGGAGTTTATTTTTTTTTTGAAAAAAAAAAATGAAAATGAAAAAAGAATGTGAAAATAATGTTAATAATAAATAATGACTTTTACAAGAAAAACAAAAAAACAACAAAAACACGACTTCCTTTATATAAAAAAATTTATACTATCATACTATAACGCAAGTAATATATAAACTGATGAAAGTTGCATAATTTGTATTAATCTTTAAAACAATCAGATATACAAGAATACTAATAAACAAACAAACTTTTTTAAATAAACTGTTATTACTTTTCGTACGAATCATGTCATTTGCAATGTTAGTATTCGGATTTCTCATTTATTGGTCCTTTCAAGTTCATGAGCGAATTATTGCTATTTTAAGCAAACAAATAAGAAAGAACAATTAATTTGGCTTGTTTTTAAAATAGCAATGTTTATATTTAGAAGTTGTTTCTTTTTAAAAAAAAATTTTTAAGATTTTTCGAATAATTAATTTCGAACCAATCGTCATTTAAATAATTAATTTGACCATAAACAATTACAAATCGAGACAAGAATATATCAAGAACTGCAACAGTTAAGGATCTTAATAAAATTATGGTTATCATTTGGGAAAATTGTTTCGACAAATTTGCGTAATTCATTACACGCTATTGAAATAAAGTATTAACTCCAAATGATGTTCTTATTTTGTTTTCTTTCCAAATTCCAACGATAAATTATCCAATTCCAAATTTTGTCATTAATTCCGATAGATTAGGACCTTTTAAAATGAAAAGTTAAATAAGGTCTAACGCCACAGCTTTCAGCAGATTTCACGATTTGAATCGTGCATTGCTGCCAAAATGAACAAGATGAAACTGTTCAAAATTTATATAATTATTTTTTCAGAAAGAACATCGATTGATTGCCATTTTTTTGTCCTCTATTTATTACTTGATTGTTTACGTTTTAGGTTTTTTAATAATTGGAATAATTGGACCAATCATCTACCTGTTTCAATACGGATTTTCTTCCTTCTGGGGCATTGTTTAATCAACATTTGATACGCGGTAAGGTGGATAACTTTATAATGACTGGACATATGACGCAGCTTTTATGCATCTTTGACAGCGTCGCTATTTTTTTTTTTCTTTTTTTTTTTTTGTTTTTATTAACGTTCACTTGATTAGGATGAAGCACATGGTTCCCTATATGTCCAATCCTATGAAAATGCCAGATGACATACATTATTCCATTATTCCCATGAGCCAGGTTTGGATAAATTTACAGTTCTCCAATAATACATTTCGTTTTTTTTTTTTTTTTCTCTTTAGAACGAGCAATTAATAACACATGTATTTATCCCATTGTCACTTTATGCACCGATGAATTATTTGTCGTTTCCAATGGTTGATAAAATTTACATTTCGGTGCATACGTCATATGCAACGACCACAAGGTATTAACATATCGCATGTTGAAAAGTTTGGGAACAGAGAAATGTTTCGATATGTAAAAACATTGTCTAATATTAATTAGAAGCCTTTATAGAAATTAATAAATAGATCTTTATTTACAATGCATTAATATACTATTTAAACACAAGTAACTCTTCTATAATATTAACATTATCCAAAATCTATTCACTTTTTTTATCCTAACAAAGGTTATTCTCTTTTTGCTAAATATTGGAACAAATCACGTGATTAAATAATAATAATTATGGTTTCGGCCAAAACTCAAGTAGCTAAATTATACGTTTTTAAAACGTATTATTTTTCGTGTAATTTCCTTCATTAAATTTTTTTATTTACATCTTTTCTTTATCTTTTTTGGTAAATTATACATCATTAAACTTCTTACCTAAAGAAACATTTTAAAATAAAGTTTCACATAAAAATTACTTACCTAAAAAGGAAAATATCAATGAAAATAAATAAAAATGCAATTACATTGAAAGTTGAAATTATTTGTTGCATAAAAAATATTTATTTTTAAAAATAAACTACATATTACATATAAATATTTCAGAAACTTAATACTTGATACATTTATAATTCAATATTCAAATACATAATAAATAAAATTTATGATTAAATTATTTTTAAACGAAAGATAAATGATTAATCATTATAAATATAATAAATTACATAATTAATAATATTTTTGATTTTTAAAATCAAAATTCTATTTACTTTCAAATAAAAAGGATCTTTAGATTTTTTATTTTTTTTCAAAAATAAAAAATTAGTTAAGAAAATATAATATAATGTAAGTTATTCTAATTTGTAATTATTATTAAAATAGAATTACTGTAATGAAAAGCATACAAAAGTTTATTTTTAATGATATGAATAAATTTTATTTTTAACTGAAAAAAAGTTTGACAAAATGTATTTTAAATATAAAGATAGATAGATAGATATGGAGTGATAATCATACTTTGAATAAAAAAATGTTTTTATTTATTAAAAATTCCAAATAAAAATAAATCATGCAGTACAAAAATTTTTGGACATATGACGCATCTATTCCACAGAAGGATTCATAAATTGCAACGTCGGAATCTACTTATAATACACTCTGACCTTATGGACATTGACACGTTACTAATGATCCTATCTGAGATGTCTTTCCCTGAAATAACGTTGTTGAAAACGAGAAAGAGACCTTTTAACATAAATGATATATATTTCACATCATACGAATGCTTTGTTGGAACGTTTAAGGACGTTGCATCCTTTTCGATTCATGTTGCAGATCCTACTTCGTCCAAACATTTTTCTTTCATGTCGAGAAAAAGAAGCCATGATTTATCATTACGAAGTATACCCGAACGTTATCAGTTACAAAGGTAGTTCATTACAACAATTGTTATCTTGCGGAATAAGACGTCTTCGAATTAAAAAACACCCAGGTCGCATGGAAAATATGTGAATTTCAGATTAGTCAAAACCAATAACGATGGATGAATCTACGTTTGTCCTCCACTTTCTTATCAGGGTCTTTATCTTTATCGGGGTCATAATCATTATCAAAAGTCATCATCAAAATCATCGTCCTTATCGTGGTCCATATCATTACAGTCTTTGTCTTTATTGACATCCTTGTCAATTTCAGAGTCAATGTCTTTACCCATCCTGACTTCTCGACCTTACAAATTCGAAATTTCTTCCAGCACAACCGACGACATATCGTTTTGTTTATAAAAAATTTAAAGAGATAAAATTTTCATTTTCGCGTTACCTATCTACAGTATCTATTCATTGTTAAGATTGAATATTTTTTTACGACTATAACTGGCCGGTGATAAGTGAAAACTTTAAACGGAAATATTTGTAGAGGGGAATTTATTAGCCGTTGAACGAATGCCTTATTTTAGACAAATAAATCTCACGGAGAAAGAATTTGATTTATTTGGCAGTCACGTGCGCGGTAAATATGACTTCTTGCATCAGTGTGCCAATCTCAATCAAAAAAAGTTAACACGAAATTTTAATTTGTCCGGACTTATATTTACCCATACAATAATAAGGAAAAGGTTAAAGAGAAGCGTAAATAATGTGTACTACTAAACCTTCAAAGAAATAGTAACTTTGTGATTTTTTGTGTCACTTAACTCCAAATTTTTAATTTAAATATTTTACAACTGAAAACAATCAAAAAAATGAATCGGGGAAAGGGGGGAATCACCATATTGGCAATAGCTTACAAACATGACATGCCATTTACCCCTGAAGGGAAAATTTCCCACGGTTTTTATAGTTTGTCAATCAACACAAAGACAATTTTCAAAGAATATAAATAAAAACTGATATATCCAAAATTTTTGAAAAAAAAAAATAAAATAATTATGATTCATTCATATCTGATTAATTCATGCCGTATTCCTCTTTTTCGTACTCGATACAGTAGCTCCTTTAATAGAGCTAACATTCGAGGATTAAATACAATTGCGCTACGCAGAGAAGATAAGAGCCGATGGGAACGTAGAGTTGCTTTAATACCTGATGATGTTTCGAAATTAATCAAAGAAACTGGTGTGAAAGTATATGTGCAGCCGTGTAATAAACGTGTTTTCAATGATGAGAAATATGTGAAAGTAATGATTTAATTTTTATCACGTTTTCCTTTTTCTTTTCCTTTTTTTTTAAAAATGTATTAAGTTGGTATTTGGATCTATGTTAGGCTGGTGCGATAGTTCAAGAAGATATTTCAGATGCTGATATCATCATGGGAATCAAAGAAATTCCGATCAAAAATTTAATTCCAAATAAAACCCATGTTTTCTTTTCTCACACGCACAAAGGACAGAAATATAATATGCCAATGTTACAAGAAATTCTCGATAAGGTTAAATAAATATTCTATCCAATCTTAGTAACTCTATAAATCACAAGACTAATATCTGTATCACGTCACGTGATAAATTGCAAATGTTCAGAAAGTACGATTAATTGATTATGAATTAATGACGAACGAAAATAAGAAGCGTCTGGTGCTATTTGGAATTCACGCCGGTTACGCAGGTAGGAATCAACCCGAATACATTCGTTTAAAAGATGCGAAAAATTTTCTCTCGTGACTTTTTTATATAGGGATGATCGACGGACTTCACGGATTGGGACTACGACTTCTGGGAATGGGTTATAATACGCCATTCATGGTATTTAAAAAAGGATTAAAAAATTTTTCACTTTATTGTTATTAACGAACAGTATTTAATCACTTCATAGCATGTCTCTATGTCTCATTCGTACAAATCCCTCGATGATGCAAATTCGTCGATTAAAAGAGTAAGCGAATCAATTGTTGATGAAGGATTGCCTAAAAGTTTTGGTCCGATGACGTTTGTATTTACAGGGACCGGAAACGTTTCCAACGTAAAGAGTGAATTATTATTATTATTATCATTATTATCGTCATTATTATTAAATTAAATTCGTGTGTTTTAATTTTTAAGGGGGCACAAGTGATATTCAAAAATTTGCCTCATGAGTACGTCAAAGTTAAAGATTTAAAAGAATGCACATTAGCGTCGCGTTAGTAGCAATTCGAATTTTCTTGCGAAAATTTGTTTGTTGATATATTATTTACATCGTTTTTTTCTGTTTGTTAAATAGATAATTATGGAAACAAGAAAGTTTATGGTTGTCAGGTTGAACCACATGACTATCTTATTCATAAAAATAAAGGAACTTTCGTATCAAAAAGTGATTATTATGCCAATCCTAATCAATACGTATCTGAATTTCACACGAAGGTACTCTTTTCATTCCTCTATACGTAACAAAAAAAAAAAAAAAATTTTTGATTTTTTTTATTTTTTTTAATAGATTGCCCCATATACTACCATGCTTATTCATGGATCTTATTGGGATTCACGATATCCGAGATTGTTAACTAATGAACACTTGAAAGCGATTCAAATGGACCCAAATAACAAATATAGATTCTTGGCTGTTGCCGATATTAGCTGTGATATAAAAGTAAGGTTGACGCATAATAAGGATGATCTTTTGTAACCTTAACTAACTTTGGGTTTCTTTCAGGGCGCGTTGGAATTTCTTTCTCATTCAACCACGATTGATGATCCATTCTATTATGTGGATTTGGTTAATAACAAGGAACATAAAAAGTTGAGATCATATTCTTGCATTTCTATCAAAAGAATGCTGCGCCATACAATGCTGATTTATTTTTAATTTTTTTTTTTTTCCCTTCTGTTAGTGATGAAGGAAAAGGAACGCAAATCATGGCAGTTGATATTCTCCCTACAGAAATTCCATTTGAAAGCAGCAAACATTTCAGCAAATCTCTTTATCCACTAATGAGCGATTTGGTAAATGATGATAATTCCGTAACAGTAACATTTTTTTTTATTATTATTGTATTATTTGACCGTTTTTAAAATTTTCGATTTTAGATCGATGGAAAATTTGATCAAAATCCCGTACTTGCAGGAGCCACTATCGCTAAAGATGGAGAATTAACGGAATCACACCAAAAATTATATGACTTATTACCGAAGAATAATCATACAAATTCGTCTCAAACTTCAGATTCTCGTAAAGTTAGAAGGAAAAAAATCTTATTGTTGGGGAGTGGATTTGTATCTAAACCTTTTGTAGATTATTTGGGAAAGAAGAAGAATTTATCATTAACAATCGGTAAGTCACGTAATGAGAAGTGAAGATTAAAGTTTAGAATGAGATTTCGTTTTAATTGTTTTAATGTACTTTATTACACACAGAAAAGAAGAAACGTCAACATAAATATTAGTTACATTAATAAATCGATTTAATAATAATATATTTTTGTTTTGTTTAAAATTTTGTACTTGATTTCAACAGAAAATTATCAATAAAAATTTTTTTATTTTATAGTTCTATTTTTAATTTACTCTGCATTTCTTTAATTAGCTAGTAATATCAAAGCTGAGGCCATTGCTCTAACACGCGGAAATCAAGATATTCAAGTTGTCAATTTAGACGTAAATAGAATAGAAGCCTTATCAAGATTAATTCAAAGTGCCGATGTTGTCGTTAGGTAAACCTTTATTTTTTAAATAATAATTCGTAGAGTGCGTGCTTCTTTAATTAATAAAATCATCTAATTTGCGCGGTGTGATCTTTATGTTTAGTTTTATACCAGCACCTTTACATCGAATCGTTGCAGAGACATGTATCGCTCATAAGAAACATATGGTTACAGCTAGTTATATATCGCCCGCAATGAAGGCACTTGATGAAAGGTAAAATAATAATTTTATAATTAGATTATATTTTTTTATATCTTTAAACTTGTTATTGGTAATAGAGCGAAACAAGCTGGAATAACTATTCTTAACGAGATTGGTCTAGATCCGGGGATCGATCATTTATCTGCCATGAAGATTATCGACGAAGTTAAAGCTGAAGGTAGTGAGGCAAGGAATCAGCATTTTTTTTTTTAAAAAAAAAGAGATCATATAATTTCTTTTAAAAATAAAATAATAATATATGATTATTATTATAATAGATAACATCGTTTATTTCATGGTGCGGAGGGTTACCGGCTCCGGAAGCTTCAAATGTTCCACTCGGTTATAAATTTAGTTGGTCACCAAGAGGCGTTCTTACAGCAGCATTAAACGATGCAAAATTTTGGATGAATGGAAAAGTATGAGTTAATACAATCGTTAAATTTGAACATGCTTTACCCAATTAATTAGAATAAATTTTTAATAAATTTAGCATCAAGAAATTTCGGGAAGGGATTTATTAAAATATCATTTTCCAACAGTGCCTATCTACCCCGGATTTGCATTTGAAGGACTCGCGAATAGAGATTCTTTATCATATATTAATACTTATGGATTAGCCCCTTTAAGTACAAAAAGTGCAATGTTTAGAGGAACATTGAGATATAAAGTATAAGAAATTTCTTTTTTTTTTTTTTTTTGAGGCAATCCTTTTAATACGCGTCAAGAATTTAACATATATATACATATATATATTTTTAATAGGGATTCTCCGATCTTATGTATTCATTTTATAAACTTGGATTTTTAGATAATGAAAATACCAAAAGTGTTAAATATAATACATGGGTAAATATAAACATTCAAATTATTATGATTATTATGATTTATGATTATATTATCATCTATTTTATTATTAATGGTTCTAAAAAAAAAAAAAAATAAATAAATAAAGTCGGATTTCCTCGATCATAACCTTTTTGGATTTTGTGATAACCAACATACGGAAGCTTCAAGGATATCAGCAATTGCTGATAAACTGAATTTACCTAAAAATCATGAAATGGTTGAAAAAGTTGTAGATGTTCTAAAATGGTATTTAGATTTTCTAATTTTTATTTGAGATGATTTTTTCACATTTCTAATTTTTAAAAAAAATAAAAAAAAAAAATTTTTTTCATGTAGGTTTTCTTTGATGCCTGATTCAAGTACACCATTAAATCACTCATGTATACCATCTATGAATAATTTGACGTCGTTTGACGTGTTTTGTTCATTACTTCAACAAAATTTAAAATATAATCCTGGAGAGAGAGATTTGGTAGTATTGCATCATGAATTTGGAATTAAGTTAAAAGATGGGAAAGAGGTATTATTATTATTTTATATATATATATATATAATTAGAACAAAAGAAAATTCCTTAAATATTAATGTTCTATTATTGTATTTATTTAGCAAACCAAAATATCTACATTAATAAGTTATGGATCCTTTGAAACGTATACGGCCATGGCAAAAACTGTCGGATTACCCGCAGCTATAGCAACTGAAATGATTGCAAGAGGAGAGATTAAGGATACTGGCGTTTTAGCGCCAACCTTGTCACATATTTATAATCCTATTTTACAAAAATTAGATGATGAAGGCATTAAAATTGTAGAGAATGTAATTAATAGAGGAATGAATGAAAGTCTAAATTGGAACGGGAGTGGAATTTGGAATTAATTTCTTCTATTTAAATTAAATTATAATAATGTTTTTTTTTTTTAAAAATAATAATTTAAAAATGACTCTATAATTAATTATTTCACTATTCATTTCATAATATAAAATTACGTGTGCACTTTTTTCAATGTCATCAAAGAAGCCACCGCAGAAACTGTTAATATAACCATATTAATTAAGATTCCAATTACACAACCAAATTCGATCTTTGATTCATTAAATAATGTCTAGGATCAAAAGGAACCAAATTAGTTTTTAAATAATTTTTTTAAAAAAAAGTCAATAAGGTATTCAAATTTACTCACCATGTAAGAAGCTCCTAAATGACTAAGGACTACCCAAATAATATAATAATATTTTCTTTTTGGATCACTAAATCCTTCAAAAGCAAGCATCATCCATGTTATATGTAGTAATATGAATAAACATGTTGTAATGGCTAAGGTAAAAAAAAGGGTAAATATTTAAATATTAAGTAAATAATTATTAAATTAATTAATTACTTACCTCCAACAAAAAATAATGTTCTAGAAGGACACGAAATACATATTAATACTCCCGGTCCAATTGAATTAACCAAAAGAGTTATATACGTCACCAAACCACTCATCAACCCAAATCCCAAACCACTAACTAACAACAAATATAAATTTTATTTATTAATAAATTATCATTAATGGATAAATCATAAATCATAAATCGGTTTTTGTTTACCGAAAGCAAAAGAAGAACGATTATACGGTGAAGTTGGATTAGTAGATGCGAGAATAAGTCCACTTTCAGCTCGACTATACAGTACGATATTTTTTTAATTAATCATTAGACAATCATTATAAACATTTTTTTTTTTTTTGAAAAAAAAAATCTTACCTGATTAATTTATAGAAAAACCAACGAAATAATTCTTGTAATAAAACACTATATAATACCGTAATTACATCTATAGTTCTAGCGGATTTAGCAATAAACCAAATTGAAGAAGCAGCTAATATTGATATCAACCAAAAGAAAGCACTTTAGAAATTAGAAAAAATAATTAATTTTCGAAAAAATAAATCGTAAAAGATGAATATCTTTTCCAAGTTAATTTAGTTACCTTGATACCATTAAAATAACAAGCTGTGCATCTTTTGCAATCGTTAAAAAAAAAATGGCAAGTGGAGGTCCATATGCTACATGATAAAATCTTTGAGAAATTTTGTAGAATGTTTTTTTTTTTAAAAAAAAAAAAATATTGATTATACTTTACCCGTTAAAGCACAACCAAAAAATGTCAGTAATGTCATTATTAACTAAATGATGTGTAAATAAGTAAATACTTTAAAAAAATACCAATCAGAAAAAAATGTTTGATAAAAAATTTTGCTATTTATTGACCGTCGTTGTCGCACTGTGCGACCTTGAAAATTTAGGGATGTTAACCAAGAAATTACAAATTAATTAATTATTATTAAACTTGCCTATTATATGTTTAATGAGCTACTTAATGAAAATAAAATAATAAACCCTCTTTGGAATCCAAAATTTAAAATTTTAGGGTCCACTAGGACCGGTCTTATACTTTAGCGGTCCACATCAAAATTGCCGCTTTTTAAGACATTTTTTTTTTTTGTTGGGGGTTACTTATTATAGATAAGTGGTTAGAGATAGTAATCTCTTAAATCGTAAGGAACCGGTTAAAGGACCGCTTAACATCTCTAGCTTTAAGACAATCTTACCGTAATTAAAAAAAGACAGCGACGTGTCATCATGATGAAAGAAATATGTAATAATGGGTGACTGTTCTTATAAAAAAAATCCTTTTTCCAATAATTTTCTCCAACTATTTGAAAAAATGGGTTCAGTTTATGAAAAACTTGTTGACACTTCACACAATCCCCCATCAACGGTTCATCAACGTCAACGTTTGGATCCTTCCATTAAAGAAAAGGAAAGAATCGAACGTCAAAGTGAAGAAGCAAAAAATGAACCTGATTATTTTGAAAAGACTCGTATCGAACCAATATTTACCAAAGTTGACTCAGAATTGGCTCATTCTGATGAAGAATTTCGTACCAAAAGTAGTCAATTATCGAAAGAAGAAAAATCTTCTGAAGCTGGTAAATTAGGCATTAACGCTAATGGTATGGCCGACACTTTGAATGAAGGGGAAAGAGAAAAAGACCATATTAAAGAAATATGGGTGTTCCTCAAAGAAATAAAAATGTTGGTGTTGATTAGGTGTAGGGTTGTTAAAGTTAGTCTTGGTCTGGTCCTAGTCCTGAGACCTATAAGTCTTATTATACAGACCTACAGACCGGGTCCACACATAACAAGTCCTAGGACTTAGGTCTGACTAGGTTCGGTCCTGAATTTTGTCCCAGGACTCAGTCCCGACTATGTAGTATTTCATGATCATCATATTACGTCCGATCCAAATCATTATAATTTTATTACGTTACACAATTCAAAATTTTATATTTATTACCGATCCAAATCATTACAATTTTATTACGTAATACGAACGGACAAAATACAAATCATAAATCGCATATTTCTTCACCTTTTCATATTCCCTACAGAGATTTTTTCAACAAAAAGGTAAGTTTTTTTTTTTCTTTTTTTTTTCTTTTTTTTTTTTTTTTTTAGCTACTAACTATTATTTCCCTCCAATTTGTTTACCAATTTTATTATTGTTTTATTATCGTATCGATCCCAACGATCGTAAATCGCAAATCGCAAATATTTTTTTCCCTTTTCATATTTCCCTACTGAGATTTTGTTTGCATCAAAAAAGGTAAGATTTTTTTCCTTTTATTCCTTTTTGTTTTTTTTTAAAAAAGTATTGGCTAATAACCATCATTTTCCTCCAATTTGTTCACCGATTTTATTATCGATCCAACTTTTGGCACATAATGATACTCTTGCGGTTTCTGGATGCAACTTATTCCGAGTTTTGGTGATAGTGTTACCTGCTATAGAAAAGGCTTGTTCACAGGCCACACTAGTTGCCTGTATAGCCAGGTAGTCTCTTGCCATTAGTGAAAGTATAGGAAATTCAGCTGAATGTGCTCGCCACCAAAGAAGTAGATCTATATTATCTTCACATGGCAAAGCTAAATACCGATCTAATTCAGTAAAAGCAGAATTAGATAAAGTGGAAGCTTGTGATGTTTCAGTAGTTTCCCCTAAACGACGTTTTTTTAGTTGATAAAAGAATTCTCGTGGTGATGATGATGATTTAGAGTTTTCTTGAGGTTGTGATCGTGTTTCTTGAGTAATATATAAGGAAAACTTTTCTTTTAAGGCATTAATTGCCTTTGTTGTTTCTTCTCCAATTTCAAAAACGGAACTTTTATTTCGGGGGTCTAATAATGAGGCAATTGTAGTTGCATCATCGATAATTGTCCAATATTCTTCAATTTTATGATTTATCGAATTTGCTAACTCATACTGGTCAAAACTATCTATTTCAATACAATATTTTAAATGTGCTTTAATTTCATTAAAGAAATAACGCACATCGGCTATAGTAGGATATGACGAACCCGAAAGAATTACAGTTGCTTTTTCAAGAGGCTCCAAAATGATAAGTGTTTCCTTTAATAATTAAATTTAATATTAAGTTTTTTTTTTTGTTTTATAATATATATAATATTTACTAATATATATTTACCTTTATTTTTTTCCATGTTATTGCATTTG